TGCCCTAATGCAGAAAAAAATTCAAGATATGATGTATATAACTAGCTTTATGTATTTGAATTGGCTTGGAACTGGCAATGGCAAGTACCTCCTAGGGTAAAGGTGCATGTGAAATGAATTAGCACAAATCTTTACAGTGATTGTTGCTTTAAGAAGTATGGACTTTTTAACAAACTTTTTGTACATCTCTTAGAAGCCCATATAAAGAAAGTGGCTGTAAGAACTACGTTTCTGTCTTTCACCTAGGTGACTGCTCTGTCATACAAGTGATGTGAAGAAGTTAAACTGCTCCAACCAGCTTGCTCCTGATCTCATACTAATGCTCATCCCAACTGTTTTCTCTTTTTCTGTCCATTAAATGCTGTACCCTCCTCCTCAACAGGACACATTTGTTTTGTTTTGTTTTTTATTTTCTTTTTCTCCAGTCACATCCATCATTTATTTTGTTACTAGCAACATGTTCTTCATGTGGGAAGCTAATAAGCCAGGAACCCCAAACTATCTATAGGCGGATCTTTTATTCTGTAAACATGTGGTTAAATAGGTGAATATGAGTATAATATATTTGAATACCAATTTCAGAAAGATGCATCAGATTTTATTTAGTTTTTCCAAGTCCCTAAAATCGTTACAGAAGTCTAGATGAAAGGATAAAAAAAAAGAATACCAATACTAAATAGTGAGCCTTTAGGCATTCAGAATCATAATTCATTGTTTTAGAATCTTTTTGCTAAAAAGTAACTGCTACCTATTCCTTTACTCTCCTTTTAGAGTTCTTATGGCTCATACTTCAAGCTATTTTTCTGCAGTTGTTAACACTAGGGATTTCAGTTTGCCTAAGAGGTTCTCTATGTAGTGGAATCTGTTGCCTGATTTTCTGCAGTTGTCTGTTCTTTTTTTGTCTTCCCACATAGTATTCCATTCATTAAATACTTTCACAGTATTTTATTCATTAAGTATGTGTATTTGTTAGTAACATGGTTTTTGCATTAGTGAGAAGAAATTGTAATAATTGTAATTTTTTTAGTGCTTATAGGTGTCTTAAGGTACTTGTGTATGTTTTTAGTACTGAAGTAGTCTTCAAAATAAAAGGTGGCTTTATGCTTGAAATGTAAGTGATTATTCTTATAATGACATGTTTCTGGGAACTGATTATTTAGCAGTGGTAATACATAGAAAAATACCCTGTCACTTTCCTTGATTATTAAAGTGTTATTCTTGTGAGGGCTTAGTATTATTACTTTTTTTTTTTTAAATTCTAGATCTTGCTTTCTTACAAATTAATTCTTATAGAAGGATCAACATTTTGTTATGTGTATCTTGTTACAAACTAAGCACATATGGGAAAATATTTTAATTGGATTTTATAGCTCTCTCTTGATTAGAGCTTTAGCCACTAGTATGTTTTAGATACCACAGTTTAACATACTTCCCGTAACTAAAACATTCTTAATGGTGGATGTTTTAATTTGCAGAAATGTAAGCAGTTTGCCTATGGATTTGCAGAGGAAGTTAGAAAATTGGACTTCGGTGCTGTAACACCTGGTTATGATTTTATGAAAGCACTTAGGTACCTATCTTAATGCATCTATAAGATCATTCTTGTGAAGCTCTCTAAATGAAAATGGATAGCGTGCATATTTTTTTCTGTGCTGCTGGGAGCTCAGCAATCTTTCCCCTCTAACGTATTTGCAAGGTTTTTAAACGATGATGGTGAATAATGTTTAGCATTTTCTTTACTCTAGGGAAGGCATAGAGTCTGTTCTTCCTTCTAACGCTCATGAGATAGCTGAGAACCGGCTCTATGTGTCAGTCACGAACACCAAAAATGCGCAAAATCACTTAGTCTCAAGTTTTGCCTCCAGGGACGACCTCATTAAGGTAATGAAGTTGAATATTGAGTATTGCTGCTTTAAATAAAAATACTTGAGTTTGTCAAGATTTAGGAGTATATTATTAGCTGTACAATAAACCACTGTTTTACTCAAGTAAAGTCGTGCTGTAACCATAGCATAAACAATGGAAGCAGAATTTCATCCTACAGTTTCACAAGTTTTGCTAAAATTTATATTTTGAGTGTGTTTCCTTCATCTGTTTTTAAAGTACTATCTTGTAGACAAAGTCTATTTAAAAAGTAACAGGGTAACTATTGGTAACAGTAGATGAGAATTAAATAGAGGATCTCTAGATTTTGTAACAATTCACTGAGTCTTTTTGCATCTCTTACTTTATTGATACCATTTATGTTACGTTTCATTACAAAAGAAAGTAAAGGAAAGAAATTTCTTTTTGTCTTAAAAAACAAAATCCAGCACATTCTACATGTCCTTGTGGGGAATAGATATAACGTAATGCTAAGCACCATATATAAACAGTATTTTAACTGTTGCTGGAAAGCATATCTCTTTCTGCCCATCGCTTTTCTTTTGAACACCACTTTTAAAATTTGGATCAGGATTGTATATATAAGCTGATATGAAATGGTAGGATGAAGTCAGATGCATGTAAAGCAAGTGTTCTTTCTAGTAATTATTTATACTTTAGTGGAGGACATCATAAGATACAGCAGAATAAAGGAGGAACTAGAATAAGGAATTCCTTCTTTTCCTGTTGTTGTGGATGCTGAAAGTAAATTAAAGATTCCTTATAATTAACCCTTAAACTGAAAAAAAAAATAAAATCACATTTGTTAACAAAATCTCAAAGTATGCATTGGAAGTTTGCCTTTAAAGTATCATTTTTTAAAATTTTGACCCTGTTATGTTCTACACAGTCAATCAGTTCTCAAAATTTTTAGGACTCAATCATGCAAATATAATTATGCAAAAAGTTTATCTCAAATTATGCAGTGTTATTTCTAATTATACAAGCCAGCAGTGACAAGCATGGAGATTTTTGTTCTGTAGGTTTATGTTTTTTTGCAGTGAAATCTTCTAACTTTAAGACAATTAGAAGCTTCAAGATGACCTTGGAATATGTATATTTTATTAGTATTTCAATAGTTCTTTCATTGACTTAATAATTTCTGTTCTATTCTGTTGTTCCATATGCTAGCAGTGCAATAGATTGGAATTAAATTTAAAATAATTGCACACTGGAATACATTCATATTGTCTGTTCTTTCAGTGCATCTCCTAATACGTGCTTTTGTGCATGCCTTCAGCTATGCATGTGTCATTTATACAACAGTCTGAATGTTGGTGGCTGCCCCGGTAGCACGGAGGATAGAGCTTGTTAGGTTACATAATCATATTATGCCTCTCCTGGACATGATCTACTATATCCAAGGCATGGATGAAGATACAGCTGGCCAGACAGTATTTTATGGCAGCAAAATTTCTGTACCCTCTGCCAGAAATCTTTCAACATCCGTATGCAATTAGTGTCAATGCTTAACAAGCCTTATGGTTCCAAAGTTTTCCATGATGGCTAAACTGAATGTGTTGCTACAATTTTTTGCAATTACTGTTCCCAGTGGATGTGGAAAGGCAGTTAATAATCTCCCACTTTTGAAACAGTCTTTACATATGTGAAGACAATCAGCATATACCAGCGTTCCTAGACTTGCAGTTCTTAAACTGGAGGTGAGGAGGGAGAGGGGCATGATTTGTATGTTTGTGAGGGAGTAGGACACAGAACACTGTATTTAGTTTGGAAAGGTGGGAGCAGTAAGTAGGAGTCTACGCTGCTCTGTTAGTGTTAGGGAAATGCTGAAAGTGTTAGTTCTTCAAACTTTTCCTTCCTTGCCTCACTCATGAGATCTAAGTGACTTTATAAGGAGGGTCAAATGCTTTCTTCATTCTTCAAGAATTCACACTTTGCAAGAGTCATCTGGTTTTGACCCTTTTCCTTCACTAAAGCTTTTGTCTCCATTTCTCTTAGTTTAGAAGATCCAAAGTTATTGAGATGGAATTGAAGGAGAGAGGAGAAAGGGAGTTGGGCAGGGGAAGAAGCTGATGTTGAGAACTTGGGAACCCTGTAGGATGTCACTTTCAACAATCTGAAGAGGAATGGGTTCAAGGGAGACCTTATCTTATGCTTTTGTGAGGGAAAGACCTGTCTGGTAGAAAAACAGCTACAATTTCACATTTGTAAAATAAGAAGAGAAGGCCTTTTTGTCTGAGTTCAGACAAAGTGTTAGTACTTTAGATCACTGGGAAGAGAAATAGGCAAGAAAAGAGTTATTGAAGTGAAAGTTAAAGCCTTCATATAGAGCCTTAATTAAAACTTATTAGGGAAGGAGAGGTGTTTAATACTGAAAGTAGCTTAATTTTTTGTAAAAATAAATGCAGTTCCACCAAAAAAATTTAAGCATTTTCTTCTGTAATCTCCACAGGTTGTGGGTTTTTTGCACATGATCACCTTTCATGTGGTATATGCTCCAGTCTGCAACCTGCTTCTGTTCCCTGGATTTGTCTCTCATGCCACCATGCAAGCTCATGCATGCCTATTCACCACATGTAGCTATATGAGAACTTATGACATGCTGTCCTTCATCCACACATCTACTCCTCCTCTTTGAAATGCTGTGTACTAATGACGCATGTATATATAGATACAGAGATACACACTCTCATAGATACTGCTATGAGTAGATAGAAATGTGTGTGTGCACATCTATTCATGATGAAAGAGGTGTCGTGGTCTAAAAAAAAAAAAATAAAATTTGAGAACTGCTGTAGACCGCAATGTAGGCTTACAATAGGGCAAATAGTAGTTTGTTAATACTTGAATATATTAAGTGCAAAGTATCGATACTGATAAAGATATGCACGTGTGAATTTTCGAGCTGTTTATAATATTTTGGAAAATTTGAATTCTTAGAAAATCTGATTTATTAGAAGAATAAACACTATATAAATATACCAGCAGAATGATTGGGTCAGCTGCTTCTTTTACAATACTCTATATTGCATTTTTTTCAGCATATGCATATTTAGTTTCTGCAAAATCATAGATTTTCTTCACATTGTATAAAACTAAGTTCATACTGTTATGAATGATATTAATCGATGAGTTAATTTGTGATATTTTGAGTTGTCACTGTCAAGTCATTAAAAAACCCGAACCCTACTGAATAATTTTAATCACGTTTTCACATACCGCAACAAGAAGACATTTTGAGATGACAATGGTTTTATGTAAAACTAATATATTGACTGATTACAGCTATATTACTTAATAGAGATAAATATGTATGAAAATATGTATTGGTTCAGTATTATTTTGTTGCCTTTTCTTCAAATTTTTGTTTTCTATTTTTTCTGCTTTCTTTTCTCTAGGTCCTGCTAGCAAGTAGTTTTGTACCAATATATGCAGGAATTAAGCCAGTGGAATATAAAGGAGAGGTAATTTTTCATTAAGTTTAACTACCAACTTTTTTTTTTTTGTGTAAGAGCATTCTTCATTTGTGATGTAATTATTTGATGTTAAGGGAAGGCAACCACGGTACTGTATTGCATAGAATAGTTTGTGTTGATCCTGTAGATTAACACTGTGAAACACGACATCAATTTGTACATGTGTTGTTTCAAAAACATGGGTGCTGAGACTGAAATGATCTCTGTAGCATGAAGCTGTTTCCTAAAGACAACATCTAACACTTGAAGCTTCTTTTAGTGAAGATACTTCTCATGACAAGCTGTGTTACCAACTCTAAAATGTTTGGGGTTTTTTTCAATTTAAAAGATTACAGTTCTGCTTTTCTGTTTAATGGAAGGAATGATAAAGGAGGTCTTGGTAGATTGGATGCTGCTGGATTACATGTATGTGTTTACATATATATTGTTCTCATGTTTTGTACAAAATTACATGCTTAGCAGGTAAATCTCTTACCTCTGGACAAGCATTAAAGAATAAACTTTTTTTTCCACCAAAGCACGTGGCTATGAAGTTTTGAGAGATGTACTATTATAAGAAGACCTTTTCAGAGTTGCCTGTACTTGGTTTAGCTTCAAGAACTTTTTTGTCTTTCTTACATAAATATATTAGGAATAATTTTGGCTATTTATTCTGTTTTTAATTACTAGAATCATGAAAACACCCATTTATTTCTTTGTGAGAAATACTACGTGATACTCTTTATTTCCTCAAACATGTCCAAGTGATGCCTTTAGAACATCTATAATCCTCACAACCACCCTGCTAAAAAAAACCCCAACAAAACCATATGCATTTGTCTCTAGCAAGAGGGAGTTGGAGTTTGTTATGTCAGAAAGTTTGTTAGCTTTACAATTGTGCATACATCATTACCTATCAACTAAAACGTTTGAAGGGTTTAAATCAGTATTGCCTGACTGCTTGAGTTAGACAGGGGCTGCTTGCAGAAATTTTGTTGCTCGGGGTCTTTATATATTGCTTATGCAGTTCAAAGGGCATATATGGATTTTTAGGTTCATTCTGCCAATAGTTTAAGGAAAGTGTCATCGTTAAATTTCTTGTGTTGCCCTTTCAGTTGAGAAATTGAAAAGTTGGCTCAGCATTCTGTCCAAAACTTTTTTTTAAATCCGTTTTACCGCCTTTATGATTTGCCTGGGTATTGTAGTATTTAGTGAAACACCTGCAATCTCTTCTTAGTGGACATTTCTTGTTCCTGCCCAACTTTATTTTTCGTGTTCAGAAGTGAAATCAATTATGTTTCACGGAAACCAGTTCTTCTGTTAGTTGAAAGCTTGTTGTCATTCCCAAAGCTTCTTACTACTCTCCTGAAGTAAGATTCAGAAAATGCAGTTTCTGAGGAGAAGGTTTCTTTCGTTTATTGTTATTTGTTGGAACAATTAGTTGTGCATGACTGCACTGACTTTTCTCATAGTCTGTAAAACAGTGCATTTGTGGTTTGGGCAATTTTTATTTTTTGAGAAAACTGTTGCATGTAAATGATGTGACTTCCATCCTTTAGTCCAAAATACTTAGAGCAGGGTTAGAGACTGCACTCTTTTGAAACAGTATTTCCGTGGCTTGGAATAGTGGGTAATGAGGATATGTGAGTAGGTAATAGACGCCCTAAAGTGTGCAGTGTAGAGCCAGGTATGTGGTGTGTGACTACATGATCCAGACATGGTAGGCACTGAAGTCAGTAAGATGAATTGGATATTGATTTGTCTCTACGAGACCACCTGTCTTATTAGCATTATATTCCAGGTTTCCTGAAAGCTTTACTGCAACAGACCAAAGTTCTGTCTGTGTGCATTTACCCTAGTTTCAGGGAAAATTCCTTAGGCCATATAGTCCACGGCAGCATGGAATTGAGCTCACTATCTGCTAGCTGCTCGAGTCTACTGGCCTTACCTGTACTTCAGAACAGTTGGTCTGGATCTTCTCTGTGCTATATACGTCACCTGCATACTTACCACCAAGTCACGCATGAGAGCTTTGAAATGTGTTTCAGTGTGTTATCTGAGGTACGTGTTGCCTGATACGTAAGGGAGTATGGTGCAGTTTTGAAGGAATAGTATCAGAAAATAGCCAACCTGTTGCTAGCCTGTCATGGTACCTATAGAGAGTGAACCTCAAAGTAAACTATTCCCAGCATCACACTTTAGTGTTTGTTTGTTTTTTTTAGGAAGAATGCTTTGTGGGAAACATTTGGCTCACACTGGAATTAGCTAGCATACCTGTAGCATGCATGCTTGGAGGCTAGACTTCTGGAGTGAATAAACTGTATTGCTTGGTAGCAAGCATAGACATAACATCAGTCTGTTCATAGTATGTTTTCTTCTGGTTTGATGAGCCTAAAAATAATCTGAAAGAAAAGGGACTGTAAAGTAACATCTGAGACTTTGTAGTCTGTTAATGGTCTCAGGTAGCTTTTTACTTGGGTTGGGTATTTAAGGTGCCCTTGCACTGTGCTTCCAGTAGCAGCAGGGTGAACTTGGTCCATGTGAAATTATGTTTCTTTGAGTTGGTTTGATGTCCTCTGATCTCTGGCAAGGTTAATCTTTAAGACAGATAAAGATCTGCGGATGATTGAGTTAACTGTATCTGATGATGAGGCTGTAGTTTGTGTCACTGTCGTTCTTAGAGAACAGCTTTGTAAAAAACATCTACTGGTAAATGGGTAGATTCTATTAGGTCCAGCCAGCATCCTCAATTTCATTGTCTGGTTTGGTTTTCATTGCGCATTTCTGAAAGATAGCTTTAAAGGGTTTCGGAATATTTTTACTGGTCTTTTTTTTGCTTCCTTTTCTAAGGCAAAACAATCTGAATCCTAGGCATTGAGAAATACGATTTTTGTGGAAAGCGAAGGAACTCAATGGTGGATTGCGAGTACTGACATCAAGAGCTTATGTGAAGAGTCAAGCTCTAAAGCATGTTATGAAATAACATGGTGAAAGAGGCCATGGAGACTATTGAATGTGAATATTCATAGCTTGTATTTCAGGAGCATAAAAGAAGTGTGAAATGGCAAATTTCATCTGAGAAAGTGAAGAAAAGAGCTGGGTGGAGAGACACAGCAACCTCCTCCCTCCCCGCCCTCTCCCAATGGTGCTTGCTATATATCCATGTGTAAAAGTAAATCTATGTAAAAAGAGTAAATCCATTTATAGCCAGATACAGGAGTTGATAGTGGAAGGAGGGGCAAGTGACAACAAAATCTTTTGGTTGCGTGAGCTCAAATGCAGAAATGGGAGAAATCTGTAATTACGAAATTAAGAGGAAGTTTACTTTAAGCAAGAATAAAGGACACAGCTGAGAGGGATCTATACTACTAAGTGATGGACCGGAGAGAATCTCAGAGGCTTCTGAAGAACAAACTTTGTGACCTGAGATAATACTTCCTGTATAGCAGTCACTACATTGGAAGCTAGTGTCTTACCAACAGTTTGAAGACATGTTTAATTTAGATGTCATGAACAACTTCCCAACAGTATACTTTTTGTGGGAGATTTTTTTTGTTTAATTTTGTGACTACATTCCTGTGGTGTTTTCAGTAGTTTTGTGGGAAAACTTGAATTATTTTGCCATTTTATAATTGTCACATGTAGTATCACCTGCAGCAGAAAAGCAGTCTTCTGCCTGATTGGTGCTGAAGAGTACTAGTACAATTTGTCGTTTGTTTGTAGTGTTCTGTGTTAATGAAACATGAAGCTGATATCCTGGAGTTTTCAGTTTATCTTTGGGGATGTCAAACCTTTAAGAAACACTGAAGTGAATCTTATAATCTTGTTTCTTACAGCATTTCCACTTGCCTAGCTTTAGGTGTCTGCCGTAGTCCACATCTTACATAGTTAATGTATGTTTCCTTTATAATTAGTGCAGAAGACGAGAAAGAAGCACTTCTTCAGCACAATCCAAATCAGATGTAAATGCCTTCTTTAGGATAAGGTGAATCATGAATTAGAAGTGATTTCTCTCCCTTAACAATAAAGGAAGTGTAGAATCACTAATTTGGCTGTAGATGTGTAAACTTCAGTGAGATGCACCTGATCACCGGACCTCATGTATGATATCAGTGAATGCATCTAGCCAGTAGACTGATGTTGATTTTTGGCTTATGCATGTAAGCACAGAAAGAAATATGAATGTTGAAAAGGTATTGGAAAGACTGTCATAGTTGACCCTGCTTATACGGGGACGGAATTTGGCTGTGGTCCCTGTGAAGGTCAGGCTTGTGCCCCTAGACTGTCTTTAGAACCAAGAAATTCATGGGAGTCTGCTAGAGATTTGTTGGTTACTTTTGTGTTTTCTTCCTCGTTCTTTCCTATACTTCACTCCTGTGGCAGACTTGATGCCTGCTCCTTCTTATGTGCCATTGTTGTTCAGCTCCTTCCCGCCTTTACCCTCTGCTTTCCAGCTATTGCTGTCTTGTGTGTGTAAGAAGACAAGAGGCTCTGGAAGAAGAGGACAGAAGTCATGTTTGGATTAGCTTGTGCAGTCAGTTTACCTGCACGTACAGATTGTGTAGCTCCTAGTTTGAATCAGAGTAATGTTTTATAGGAGTATACATTAAATTATATGGTCCACATGTAATATTAACTATCTTGTCTTTTCATGCATGTGTCGAGAAAAATTTTGCATGGGGCATTTTGTTATTAGATCAACTAAGAAGCCTTATCAAAAGCTTCATAAATACATGTGGAGAAACCTTTTGGCTGCTGCAGTGTGGAGAAACCTTTTGGCTGCTGCAGCATCCTGTGAAAGTTGTTTCCCTGTGTAGGCTAACTAAGAAACACCTGTAGCTCGTTACACTGGGAAAGTTACCTTGAAACAGGTGCTGTAGCATTCAGCCAATCACTCTGGGAGATGGATGGTCAAGTGACCAATAGCCTTGACCCATCTAGCAAATCATGTGACTCCTGACTATTTAAGGCAGGGTGTTTACTCCTAAGGGTGAGGCATTTCTTCCTGAGCTTTGGAGGAGTGTGGGCCTTCCTTAGAGTAGAGCCTAAAGCCTTTGCATTAGAGCATTGGTCTGCTTGGAGCCGCCTGAAGCCTTCCAGCTGCGACAAATACATTACACACGTACTTACACATTATGCCAAATGCTCATTAGTTAAACACTCTGCGTGTACATTGCAAGTTCCTTGATTTTTATGCCTCATACTCAGACCTATGCATGGTATTCTGAGAAGGAAACTTGTAAGCTTTCTTGCAGGTGGGGTGGAGGAGGCAGGGACAGGAAGGATGAAGTATTCAGTTATGAACATACTGTACTAAGGTTACTTTGAAAATATTTTTGTTTTCCAATAGAAGTGGGTCGATGGTGGCCTTACCAATGGCCTTCCTATCTTGCCTGTTGGAAGAACTGTGACAATTTCTCCTTTCAGCGGTCGATTAGATATCTGCCCACAAGATATAGGACGTGTGGATCTTTATGTTAAATTTGCAAAACAAGATATAATGGTGAGTTGCTTGTTTATTGAATGTCTTCAGAAGAAGAAAAGGTAGTTGAGGAGTTAAGGCTATGCTTATTTTTAAGTGTTTATTTTCTGCTTATATGTCAACCGGAGTAATGTTTTGGCATTTTCTGTTTTGCCGATGGAGTGTAAACTTTTTCTTAAACACAAGGGAAGGAAAATGTAGAATAAGTTTTATCAGAAAGGTTGAAAAGCATTATTTCAGTACAAGATTGGGCAAATTATCACAGGCTATTAAATGTAAATAATCTAGATTTGCTTTAAGTGTCAGCTGTCTTTGGCTAGGCAAAGTGTTTATAGAAAACAAACAACCAACTTCTGTAGAAATACCTCAGGAGGGGGAAACTCCAGAACATCTCTTCATACTTACTGACATTAGCTGCACTAACTGAATTTAAAATACAAGTTTAAGTTGTACATTCAAAATGATATACAATGACTTGTCACCTCGTTGCTCAAAAGAGCTCATGTTAAGATTTAGAACGTTTGTGACCGCAACATTCTTCTGAAAGTTATTTTGTTAGATGTTGCAGAAACATTTCTGTATATTGAAATATAGGCTAAGACTGATTTTTATGGTTGATAAACCATCGTTGATATTTCTGTCTTTGCAAGCGTTTTTTCACAAACTTTAACCACAGTATTTCTTCCTTTGACATGATGTAAGAAAGTGCTGAATAACAGTAGACCTAGCTGTCAACAAAACTTCGTTAGAAATAAAAAATAAAGATTAGCAATAACTCATACTTTTTAAAAAAAGGTTTTTTTAGACAGTTCTTAATGTTTTCCTAATTTGAGTAATATAATCCTAAATCGAACCAATTTCTGAATCTTTGTTTCACGGAGAGATTTTAAGCATGATAGTACTTGGTAAATGATCATAAAGCATGAGATGATTGATTTCATACATATTGAAAATGTATGCAATCACTTACTATATTTATTGGTTATGATTTGTATCTAATATCTAGTGCATCTAGAGGAGTAAAAATGAGCTGATGGTTAGATTAGTTTAGAGATAGAAAATTAATTGCAGAGTTACGTTGCTTCTAGGATCCTGCGAGTACAGACTTGTGCAGAATCTCAGGCAACATTTTAAACCATTCCATTTGAGGCACCCTTAGCTTTTAGAGCCGGTAAACTGTAAACTAAGACTAAATTTTTTTTCAGCAATACTGTCATCTGCATAAAAGGAATAGTTGTGTATCTTCATTTATCTGGATTGGAATATGAATGGTTTTCTGTCTCTTTGATCCTCCTCCATCTATTAGTGTCAGAATTTGAATAATTGCTTACTGCAAATAATGAAGATGATTTTGATACTGTTTTTCAAAATTATGTATAATGAAGTATGTGGCTAAAGTATTAAATTAATCATATAAATGAAGCATTCAGAACTTTATTAAATTTAATTACATTTAAAATTTTGTTGTAAACAATATAATAATGCCTTTATTCAAGAACAGAATTCTGAAATCTTTTTACCCTAGGAAAGTGACCACTTGAGATGCTCAGTAGCTCTTAATTTGTTGGTAATACAAGCTACATTTATACTCATGTGTTAAACGTTGCCTGGGAATGTTCCCAAGGATGTGGTTGTTTGCACTAGTAAGCTGTCAAAATGTTGCCTTGCACAAGTTTGGCATGTGCCAGCTACTGCTCTGCCAAATAGTTCTGATAAGGCTTCAGAAGTTAAAATGTTTCAGAAACTTTGGCCGGTTTTACAGGCAGGCAGACAGTCTTGGAGGCTGGGAGTTTAATAGTGCGTGTGTAGACTGACTGCGCCAGCTTGTCTTGGTGCTCTGCAGCGCACCTGGACATGACTGACATGACTGGTTTCCTGATGTTGCTACAGCCATGCTGGTCCTTTGTTTTTACGTATGGTACATGAAACAGATGACCACAGATAGCAACACAATCAAGTCTAGATAAGTTGCTTTAATAAACTAATTTGTAGCTTCTTGCTCTGTTACAGCTGTCTATGGCCAACCTAGTAAGACTTAATCAAGCTTTGTTCCCACCAAACCAGGAGAAAATGGAATCATTGTACCAAAATGGATTTGATGACACTGTACGTTTTTTACTGAAAGAAAACTGGTTTGAATAGCTGGTATGTAAAAAAAAAAACTAGCAAAACCTGATGGCTGTCAAAACACAGCTACAGGCATCCTACAGAATCTAAGGGATTGCTGTCCCAGTTTCAATTTATGGAAATAGAAATCCCAATGGAATTGCATCTGCTTCTTCTGAGAAAGTGTCAGCTGCGCTCCAAAAACCTGTATAAACATGGAATGGGAATTGCACTTGCCTGGTAGTTGTCTTGTTTTGAGGACGTTCAAGGTTAGATCCATTTTGCTTCAGCTGAAGACTTGAGTGTGGGATTTGTAAAAAGCTCATGTTGTCATAATTTCAGAAATTTGGAAAAGTCTTTTTTAATGTTAGTTGAGAGACAAATTGAGGTTATACCATGAAAAATTGTGATCTGTATTGTTCACTTAATGTAATAGTTCTGCGTGCTAATTGGATGCTTGCAATATTGCTGATCTAATACATATCTTCCAGTGTTCTAAAGGACTTGAACACTTAGCACTAACCACATGAAAGAAAACATTTGCACTCTTTGATATGTGTATTTTTTAACATTAAAAATTCTCACCTTTTTAAGTGAATGTGGTCTTCTAAAATTTGAAATACTAGTTGAAACTTGTAACAGAATTGTGATGTTTGTAAAAATATGTTGTAAAGAAAGATGTAAGAAATGGGTATATTTATTATTTTTTTTCCTCTGCTAAAATTGAATAAATATATTTTCTTGGAACTTTTGTCAAGAGCTCATTTATAAATTTCTCGGAACACTGTAACAACCTGGTTATCTGTGAAAAAAACAGTCTGTTGGAGAGAAGTTGAAGTCAGCAGGTAGTAGAATTCAGACTCACGTGTCTCATTCTTTTACCATTCACCTCACATTGACTACCCTAAGTGCAAGTTCAGGATTTTCAGTCTTAATGCCTAAATCCTAAAATCCACAACTGTTTATTTAAAAGCAAACAGTGTTTGCTTTTTAAGTGTGGGATTTTTTTTTTAGGTTGGTTTCTTAATACTTATAAAAATTGCAGGTTGAATTAAACTTGCATGAAATTATGAAATTACAAAATTCCTCAAAAACAACAGAAAATTTGGGGAGGTGAGAAATAAGATTAAAAAAAAAATAAATCTGCTATAGCTGTTTAGAAGCCTCTTTGGCACATAGCCACCAGATTTATATGCATATGTAGATTACATCAGGTTGGGATTCATGTGACAGGGATTGAATTCTTTTATTACGGTTTTTGGTAATATAAAATGCTAATGCGAAGCACCTTACTTTCATTTTAGAACAGCAACTCTTTCTAAATACATGAGGTTCTGTAAGCGGTGAAATCAGGATAGCTTGTGAGATTTCCACACCTGTAGGACAGCGTTTTTGCATGTAAAACTGAAATAAGTTTCCCTTGTGCTACCGAGGCACCTGTGCCTGATATTTATACGGAGGACAACTTTCAGCATGAATAGAAACAGTAGATAAAGCTATTAAGGAATTCGCTTCTTTCATGCTGATCTGCTGTGGCCGGAGGCTCTGATTCAATGACAATACCTGTTTTGGCACTCTGGTGGAAACTTGGAACAGGTCTTTTTCACTTGGTGTTGTGGGGCTTGGAGCTACTCACAAGCTTTCAGAAACCGCGAACATCTTCGGGTCGGTTACCTTTCTGAGCAGCAATGGTACCACATGTATTTAGCCAGCCTATACAAAGCTTCTTTATTTGGACGCAGTTTTTTGTTGCTTTTAAAGGAAGAGGTTATTAAACAAAGTTCGTTTCCTGATGGTGTATGTTGCTTTTGAGCATCAACACTGTCATAGTTTATGTTTGTGTTCTTTAATCCATAAAAATCTGACTTTTCTTTTCAGCATGTATTAATGTCATACACAGGAACATATGCAGTATCGTGTTTACTGAGCTCTGAGAGCCACAGGTAGTGTTGAGTGCTTTAGAAATTGACCTTTATAGGTTTATGATAAGATAGTACCAGATTTTTCAGGAAAAATAAAATCATATTAATGCAGAGATAAGATGTGGAAGTGTTCTCTGTGATAAGATTTAGTGTTTTGGTTTTTCTTTTTTTGTGGCGGAGCATAAAATGGAGGACAGAAGACTGTTAGGACAGTCATAACACTAGTGTTCAGAGTGTATACTGCTGCATGCATAGCAAGACTCAGAGATTTTTTTCAATTACCACTGTTTTATAAATGTTTTTTGATTGTACATGATGTACCCGAAGCAGAAGGATGCAAGCCTATTTTCTCTAAGATCAGTTGGTCCTAATGAAGCACAGTAAGGCACATTCAGAAATGCATTATTTTCAGCCAGCTTTTTTGGTCAGTTTTGTTTGTGTGGAAAGTACCTTCTTGGAGAAAAGGGATATTTCTTAGCATATTTTAGAAATATTTGCAAAAGAGAAATCAGAAGGATAGTCATAATCTCTTTGTTTCATGTAAAAAGCCAAAGCTACCTCTAAGTATACAGGTTTTGTAAATAGTACCCATTTTACTTCCTCCTTCCACCAATCCCTCCACTGTATTGCCTTGAAAATATAAGATGTAAAGTTTAAAGAAAACCCAGTTTTTCTAAGCAAAGTAGCATTTTTACAATAGAGACATAACCTTATTACAAGCGAATCTATTTGCCTCCTGGTTTAGTCTCCGTAATTGTGTAAGTTGATTGTGATTTCTTCCTATTTATCTTTGTAAAATTCAAATAATTTTAATTAAGTTTTGTGTTTTGATCTGTATTTAATGACTCACTATTTCAGTGTTTGAGTCTGGACAGAACTTTGATTTTAAAATCTCTACTTCTATGTGCATTTCCCTCATCAGTTAAAATAACAATGTTTTTATTGGTGAAAATGATCTAGAACAGAGGAGACCATGTTGTCTCTGATTTTGCAGCATGTACGTGCCATTCACATTCACTACACAAATGAGGGGTAAACAATGTTTACAGAGGTGGCTGCTAGATTAAGACAGCTAAGAAGTACCTTTGCTTAGATCAATCTGTTTTGTGGGAAAAGATCTAATCCCTTTTACATAGGTAGGAGACTGTCTTTATTCAGTACTAATCTTACCCATATCATGAAGTTCAACAAGGCCAAGTGCAAGGATCTGCACTTGGGTCAGGGCAATCCCAAGCACAAATATAGGCTGGATAGAGAGGAACCCTTAGGAGAAGGACTTGGGAGGGTTGGTTCCTGGCAAGCTCAACATGAGTTTGCAATGTGCGCTTGCAGCCCAGAAAGCCAACCATATCCTGGGCTGCATCAAAAGAAGCGTGGCCAGCAGGTCAAGGGAGGCGATTCTCCCCCTCTTCTCTGCTCCCATGAGACCCTGCCTGGAGTAGTGTGTTCAGCTCTGGGACCCCAACTTAAGAAGGACATGGACCTGTTGTAACAAGTCCAGAGGAGGGTCACAAAGATGTTCTGAGGGCTGGAGTATCTCTCCTATGAAGACAGGCTGAGAGAGTTGGAGTTGTTCAGCCTGGAGAAGAGAAGACTTTGAGGAGACCTTCGAGCAACCTTCCAGTACTTAAAGGAGGCCTACGAGAAAGCTGGAGAGGGACTTTTGACAAGGGATTTCAGCGATAGCACAAGCGATACTGGCTTTAAACTGAAAGAGGGCAGATTTAGATTAGATCTAAGGAAGAAATTCTTGACTGCAAGGGTGGTGAGGCACTGGAACAGGTTGCCCAGAGAAGTTGTGGATGCCCCATCCCTGGAAGTGTTCAAGGCCAGGTCAGATGAGGCTTTGAGCAACCTGATGTAGTGGAAGGTGCCCCTTATGATGGCAAGAGGGTTGGAACTAAATGATCTTGAATGTCCCTTCCAACCCAAAACTATTTTATGATTCTATTATTTATATCATTGATGAAATACTGTAGTGTTACAGAGATGTAATGTTAAGGAGTCAGTCTTAAAGCTGTTCTTTCAAATGGGAATCTGCCTTCAATATATTGCTACTCTTCAAATCTCCCTGTGTTTTGGAAATGATTAATTTTAGGGGATACACATGAAGCAAACTAAAATAAAATATAATTTTCTATATCCTTTTAAAAATAACCTGCCAGAAATAATATAAATCCATGTTATCATGGTATCATGATACCCCATACCAGCTTTCCTAGTTGGAATATATATGTTCCTAACATTATCATTTTTCTGTTTTAAATCTCTTCTATGTATGGTCTTACTGGACAATTACAGTTATACACTTTTATTGATTAAATATTTTCTACTTAGAAACAGTGAGAAATCTAACAAGATCAGAACTTCTTTGACTTTGTTTTTTATTAACAGTGGTCATGTTCTTCAAGAAGTGAATATAAGCCTTTCTGAATGGAGAAAGTTCAGGGTATTTTTAACCACTTGGCAAGTTCTTCAATTTGGTGTGGATCTTTCCTGGATATTTATACTGACTAATAGCTGGAATTTTCTGTTAGAACATCATAAATAATTTCTCGTGAAAAATGATCCTAGCCATCTTGTTTGCAATTTTCACAGAAGGCTATGGTAGTAGGGAGGACTCTTTCAAAAAGTGTCCTGGTTTTAGCTGGGACAAAGTTAGCTCTTCTTTTTAGCAGCTAGAAGAGCTCCGTGTTTTGGTTTTACTCAGAGGCTTGCTCTGAGAAGAATGCTGATAGCAAGCTGATGTTTGTGGTTGGACGTGAAACTCCAAGGACTTTTCAGTGTGCCGTGTTCTGGCCGGAGTGCAGAAGCACGGCGGGATAAGCGGGGAGCATAGCCCGGACAAGGGGGCCACGATTCCCCTTGTGATTTGTGGTGGAACTTAAGATTGAGGGCCAAACTGGCCAATTAGTATTCCATATCATGCAGCATCATGCCCAGTATAAAAGTGAGGGTCAGCCGGACAGAAGGGCTTTTGCGCTTTGGCTCTTTCGCTGCTTTTGCTCTTTTGCGCTTGCTGCGCTTTTGCTCTGTTGTTTTTCTTTCTTTCTCTCTCTCTCCCAGTACTCCCACTCTCGGAGTACTATCTCTCTCTCTCTCTGCCCCTCTCTATTTCGGGGCCTCGTGTTCGTCCAGGATTGCAGCTTCAGGACGAGACGGGCTGTGGATAAGAGGGGGTGGTGAGCATCTACCCTGTGTATTAAATCATCTGTGTTAAATTGTTCTTATCTCAACCCATGGGTTTCCTGTTTCTCCTTTAATTCTCTCCCTCATTCCTGGGGGTGGGGGAGGGTGAGTGACCAGCTGTGTGGATTCAGTTGCTGGAGCAGCCTAACCCATGACAAAAAGTCTTAAATGAGTTGAAAATCAGTTAATGATCTCTTTTGTCAAAGCAAACCACAAAGAAATA